AGACTTACTTAGATTACTATCAGTGTACTGCAAGAAGAAACATCCGCTATGAAATGTCACAAACTTCATCATCAACGGAAAACGAAGAAATAACAGCATAATTACACAAATAATAATGAAAAAAATAATAGTTTTGACAATAATAATAATAGAAACTAGGTAGGTAGTTTATACTAATAGGAAATATACCAAGCATCTGATTTGCCATTGGAAGTGGTAGGTATAGTCAAAATAAAGGAAGTTGTGCACATTTAAGTTGACGGCACTCTCAAAGGCCAAAAAACCAATACATAGAAATGAAACGGCTGCGAACTAGTCCACGTGGACTGTAGAATTGGCGGTTCGTATTGCATAATTTTTATTAACAGAGTTTTATGATTGGCTGAAGAGTCATAAAATTAAATTTGAAGTCATATTACAGTGACGAATAGAAATCGGGAAATGCGGGGATGGTTATCGCCGTCGTGTTCAGTTCAGGAACTGCTCGCGATTTGAGTGTTGAAATTCAATATTGGTGCCATTATAATTACTTAAAATTTTTGTTATCTGTTTAAAATGTGGCGTCCTTGGACAAGTACTAATAGTAATAACGATTGTGATAACAACGCAGACTTTTTCCAGTGTAGTGATTCCAATAGCCATGGTGAACAAAGCGAAAAAGATATATCATTGAATAAGATTCGGATGCATTTGAATATTGAAACAGAGAGTATGTTTCAATGTATATAGGAATTTACATATCAAGTTTGGTTTCGAGGGAAACACACTATTACAAGCACCATCAGTTTTGACCGAAATTCCTTTCTCAAATGTACGTAAAATAGTCCAAAACAAACCTTATGAACGCAAGACGCGATGTGATACAGGATTACCAAAACCTTTAGATGTTCATCTAATAAAATCATTGAAAAAAACAATATACATAAGGACACATTGAAAAAATTAATTTGGATAGGCAATATTGTGAAATTAATTTTTATATAGCTGAAAATTGTTTTATATAAACATATATTGTAAAATAATAGATAAGGCAAAATTGTAAAATTAATTTAGATTGGTATACTTGTATGGTTGGTACGCCTGGATGGTTTACCTATATGGGTTACCTTTATAGCATAAATAGGATTAGCTCGCACTAGTTCTTAGTTTTAATTTCCCTCTTTGAAGATGATCACTTGGAGATCGAAACACGTGTCGAGGTGTTAAAAATAACGATTTGGTGTTGGGAAAAACTCCAGTAATAATATACGACTGTAACAAAAGCAATGAGATTCCTACAACTGAAATCATAAGGAAGAAATTGAATATTTCCGGCCATAACGTGAGCTGCTGTGACAAAACTCTTCAGAATTGCATAAAGACACTAGGATTTAGATTTAAAATAATAAACAAACGTCAAGCAGTTATGGAAAGCAGAAGAATAGTGAAATTGCGTAACAAATACTTAGAACAAATAACTAAATATAGACAAAAACAACGGAAAATTTTCCATTTGGAGGAAACTTAGTATGACACTCAAGAGACAGTTACGAAAGAGTGGACTGATGGTTCGAGAATATGTACGCCTAACATGCTTGCGAACAAAGGATCGCGACTAATCATTGTGCATTGCGGAGGAAGTAAAGGATAGGTTCCGAAATCTTTGAAATTATGTGGGAAGAACTTGAGGACCACAATGTTGACTATCATAAGAAAATGGAAGCTAATATTTTCGAGGAATGGTTTGAAAACACATTGATCCCAAATATGGATGCGAATAGTGTAACAGTTATTGACAACTCATCAAAGTACCGAATAAAAATTCGAGGAATGATGATATACAAAGTTTTTTAATGGCTAACAATTTGTATTTTGAAGATTACTATACCAAAAACCAACTACTTGAAGTTTTACAGACAAAAACATTTGAAAAAGTGTATGCCCTTGAGAGTATTGCTGAAAACTATGGATACACCATACTGATCTGCCAATGTCCTCTCTCTCATAAAATAGAATGTAGGATGTCTCCAGAGGCTCCAATAAATTCAATACATCGCCAGAACATCATCTGTTAAAAGTTCCATTTTCAGATGATTTAACAATAATATATTATTAAACCATTTATATTATAAACCATTAATACATTTCACACAAAGACAAATATGAAGTGGATAAATAGCTAATTGGTTGTTATTGACGAATCCAATTCCGTTCTTCCATCAACGTCAAAAAACTAAAAATATTTGAAGGTTCTGATGAATGAAATATCACTATTCACCTGTGATTCACTGATTCACTGAATTTTTTCACTGCTACAGAATATTTTGCACTGTTTCCACATCAGTAATTACTAGAATATCTTAAATTGCTATTATATTCATGTGAACACACTCACCAGATATTGATTCTAGTGACATTTTGGTGGATGCCACCATCACGACACGATAATAAATTATTCGAATGATGGTGGCAAAATGGTTAAGACTTTCCCGACCGAGATTTTCAGTGTCACTAATTTTCGAGTTTGAAGGCCGTCGATTTTTGGAATTTTTTCCTGGTGTTTCGCTGGCGCAAGTGGCTAGCTTCTTCAGGGGTCTATACAACCATCCTGAGTAATCATCCGATGAGTCATCGGAGAGCATCAGGAAAGGGAATCAGCAATTTCCACCCACAAGGGGGCTAAAGATTGTATAGAATTTCGTAAGTTTTGAAGTTGGAAACTTGAAGTATTGGGTTAATAAAAGGATATTGTAACTATTTGTTTAAAATGGTCTGTCACAAACACAAACAAGGTATCTGTTCTGAACAGATACCTTGTACCCTTTGGATACGAGTCAATACATTTAGAATTGAGATGTCCTACATGAAAAATTCATATGCTGAAGTAAACGAAATTCCTGAAAGAAATATCAAAATCTTTTTTGAAATGAGAATTATTTATTTTAAAAAAGTGAGACAGGAAAATTCTTTTTCTAACGAGACACCCTGTATATACCTGCATAATTCAAAAGAGCTTAAAATTACCTTTCCAAAAATGTGGCACACTTGATGTTTTACTGAAGTCATCTTTGAAATACAGAGTTTTGGGTTTTTCATTTCATAAAATTTGACCCTCAGACACAGTCATCAGTTTTCATCTATCATCTATCTAGTTTCCCTTCAAAAGTGTTCAATTTGGCTCACTCTGCACTCTGGCTAGGCAATGTATCAATTTTCCCGAGCCACGAAGAGAACTTCATGGCTATTGCAGTCACGTCAGCCATATAAAGTAATGACAATTTCAACTAGGAAAATTCTTTCGAGAAAGTTCAAGTGACTATTACCATTCAAATTTTTTCTGTAAAAAAAATTATCTACTGATTTATTATTTAACATACCACCCCACACAATTATTTGTTGTGGTATATCAATATCCCATCTAAAATTTAGGGACGTAACAACAGGTAAAATTTACATTCATCTCTCCACTTAAATACGTCAATCGAAATCACGCTGCTCTTCTATTTCACTATGAACCCCACATTGCAAAATCAAACATGAAATCATACTCACTTTTATGGAATTAACAAATGAATTTACGCTTTATTGGTAGAATGGTTTCGCAGTTTTCTTTTTTTACCAGTATATTCATAAATATGTTGGGCATACAGTTTTTGTACTCACTTAAATGAATTTGTTAGCCGAACACTCTGCATTTTGAACCATTTCTAAAATTCCACTAACCAGTAATTGCCATTCTGCCATTCATGATACCTATGAGTGTTAAAAGTAAAGTTTTATTTTGTAAGTGAAAAAGTTATCTCAACTCAACTCAACGTTATCTTTGAAAACTTGCTCCACAAAGTTGACGATTTCCATATTTTTGATTTCTCTTCTAAATAGGCTAAGAAGACGGTTACGCTGAAATTTCCTTCGCCGTTTTTGAATCTACACCAGCTAAGAAAATAAGAATATGCGATGTCGTACTTCTGAGCTGATTTTTTTGGTAACAATTCAATTGAAGCTCTTTTTGCCGCCTCTTCAATATCGTCAGGAACACAATATTCCTAACTATTGTCCTTCATTATGCACAAAATTAAACACCAGCAAAAACTTTAAAAGTGACTTTAAATGAAACGCGTGAGCTGTAAACAATACTGTTTGTTGGTAACCAGATGATTGGGCGTCATCTGACACGGCCACTTCACATCAAATGCGATAACATGAAAATAGTTAACTGACAAGAGATGTCAAAATGAGTTTTTTTAGAAATATGCATCTATTTCATTATAAAACAGGGCAGTTGTACAAAAACTTTGTATGATATTTGTGTTAAAAGTAAGTTTTATTTTGTTCGTGAAATTGCTCAACTCGCTACGCTCGTGTCACACAAACTTATTCATTCACAAAATAAAACCTTACTTTTAACGGTCATATCATAAATAGCTATTTTTCACTGAAAATATCTGCAGCTTCCGTATAACCATAACCACAAATTAAAACTAATTCTGCAATTTCATTTAATGAACAAACACTTTTGACATGAGTTTAAAAAAATTGTTTTTCTTTGGCTAATCGAAATGGGTTTTGATTATGTTTGTTCTAATACCTCTGAAAACCAGTTGAGGAAAATGGTTTTAAAATTTATCTTTAGCATAAAAATTTTTTTTTACAGATTATAGAAGTAAAATATATGATAAAAACGAAAGTGATACATCGGTTCTAGTTGATTTCCACAGATTTTGTTTTCTCCGCTTTAATTATTTGAATTCGCAAATGAGTAAACACCTTCTCTTAGGTATACCTGGAATAATGTTTTTTTCGTTAGTATTCAAAACCAAGTTAGCGCCTTCATCAGGTGAAGAAAACCGAAGATTTTTTCATCTCCTGAAGACGTTAATTTGGGTGAAACGCGCAAATATTGCATTTCTGGTGAATGGGAAAAGTGCTTGTTTTGAATACTTGTATCGAATATTGAATGAATGTCAATGATGATTTCAATCATTGGACAACCCGATTTTTATCAGATATACAAAACTTACCGTAACTTATAAAACTAATTGCTAACGTGAAAAAGTAGAGTAAATCCATCGCTTGAAAAAGGAACCAAGAACCGAGTACACTGAATCGATTAACCAAATCACCAAAAAATAAACGAATATCGTTTCCGTTAACGAAGAAAAGCGCGCTTTTGCTCCCGTTAAAAAATGCGATCGGTTAATCCAACTAACGTGCACTTTGTCAACGAACTAACAGCTCGAGAATCTATTTTGAAATTTCACAGGCACAGCGGGGGTTAACCATGCATATAGGAGTATCGTATGGTCAATGTGGACGGACGTTCCACCTCGTAGTTCATATAATAATAAATTTCATTTTTAATTTTGAGGTCGACATGTGCAACATTTTACTTTATGTCAGTGTTTTATATGAGTATGCTACTATTTCTGTTCTACGTTCAGAACCTTATGAAAGTAACAGGAGAAAATATGCACTTTAGTAGCGATACGTTATGTAGAATAACCCTCAGTAGGTATGATGTATCAATTGATTTTTAAATAACACTTAACGTCTCATAAATTCAGAATGAAATCGAGAAACACAATGAACTATCATCCAATCACATCAGCCACTCCGCCAAATCTAAATATTATGGAGGATGTCAGTCTCGTTTCAAACTACGTCTCATCTCCTACCTTTGTGCTGAACGGGTTTCTTCTTCTTTAGATTTTTGAGGATGATTTTTGAGTTAATGCGTCAATTCTCCTAGCAAATTTTAGTCCCCTCGGAGTAAAAAACCAGAAGTTGAAACAGTAGATTAGTTTACGACTGGAAATCGCATGTGCGAGCATAATCAAGATTAAGCTCGATAATGTCAAGTTCTTCTATTAACGGTACATTTACTCATTCTTACATACTTGTGATGTACTTTTTGGAACCTTTGGTACACTAATGAATATTACTGGAGTTTTTTCCCAACAACAAGCTGTTATTTCAACACCTCGACACGTGTTTCGGTTACCAAGTGATCATCTTCAAGAGGAATATTGATCTAAATAGTCTTATAATGTTATTCTTATTTATACCATAGATACCTAATCTAGGTAGCTGCGTCTTGAGTGTCTTAAATTAATTTCACACTGTGTCCTTTATGTAATCTAATGATTAAAATGTTGTTTTAACAAGCTATAAAGTATACTATTAGGTAATAGTCCACCATCGTAATTATTAATATTATTACCTTCACCTATTTCTACACTATATCATAGGCATCTAGATGCCTGTTGTTAACTTGTCTCACTAATCTTAATGAACTGAAATCTATGGAATGGTTTTGTTGCAAAATATAATGGGCGACTGCTGATTTTTCTGGTTTTCCATATTTAAAGTGTGCTAAGTGTTCCTTATATCTTATTTTAATAGATCTTTTTGTCTGTCCATAATATTTTACATCGCAGTCTCTACATTTCGTAAATTCCAGACTTTTCCGAATTCTCGACGTTGTCTTTTGGACTTCCTAAAAGGCTCTGTAGTGTATGACTTGTTTTACCTAGTTCCTTGAAAATCTTTCCAAAGTTCTTCGTGTTTTGATGGTATGGAACTGAGTTTTCGTTGTTTTTGAAAGTCGAGATTTCGATCATTCTTATCCTTAACATTGTCTTCCTTATTATATCATCTACAATACCCCTTGAAAAACTGTTACCGGCTGCTATTTTCAGCACTCTACGTTTTTCTTTTATGAACCTCTCATGTGTGAGGGGAAAAGTCAAAATAAAATGCACTAGAAAATTGAACCCAAACGAATTCATCAATTTCGTTATTTTTGAAATTATGTTTCTCTAGTAATTCCCTGAGGTATTGTAAGGTCTGTGGAATTGGGACGCTAGGAAATAAGGAACTATCATCAAAGGAAACCAAAATCTCACCTTATTGCAGAAAGATGTTTTTTGTATATTGTATGAACTCTGAGGAGTTTTTGATACTAAAACCTGGTGATCACTTGTTGATCGAAACACGTGTCGAAGTGTTAAAATAACGGTTTGGTGTTGGGAAAAAACTCCAGTAATATTCATTCCTACATGTTTTTTAGAAATGGGGTCAGGAAGTAGAAAGCAGCCATGAGGAAATTATGGATCCATTCGATGACCATCGATAACAAATGGGCATTATTTCATTGAGGCTGCATTTTTTGCCGTAGATAACTGTGATCTTATCAGTAGAGGCGACGGCGTCTCCCTCTACGAAGGCGCCATCTATGAAATCAACAGAAGACTCAATCCACGAATATCAAAGATAAACAAGGTTCCCCAAGGAAGTTCATTACAAAGCCAATCTTCGACATCGACCGCCGGAAGAGATTCGTCATGTGTCTTTCACTTCAAAGCAGCTCAATGAATTTGTGACAGCGCTGTTTTAACCCACCAGGTCTCATCAGCAGTACAAGGCTGAACCCACTGAATTATCCTAAAACGGACAGCTCGCCCTACGAAGACGCAAAGTCTGAAAACGCCATCTATGGGGAGCCTCGTTCATCACTGATATTTGTAGATGGTGTATTATGTCGTTTATATAGATGACGTCTTCATAGGGGGATGCCATAGCCTTTACTTTCAGGTTTTAGGATACTTCAGTGGTTCAGCCTTGCATTACTAATAAGACCTGGTGGATTGAAACAGCGCTTTCTGGTGTTGGATCACAAACACATCGAATAATCTTATCAAATACAGAGCTTCGTTAAAAACGGATTCCTTTGTAGGTATCTATTTTCAGATTTTGAAATTTGACAGACAACTTGATCTTTTCCAAATGATGTCTCTGTGTCTTCTTCTTGAGGGTTGAAAGCTATAGTACAACTTAAAGCAATACCATTCAACTGTGATATCTGTGAGATGTATAATAACAATTGCAGTTGCAAACATCTTACAACAGAAGTCAAATTCAGTCGTGTAAAAGCAAAACGGAATCGGGAATAATGATCAACAATAGTTAAGTATTTATCAGATATTGGTAAGGATCCTTGAAGATCAAAATGGAGTATTTCAAGTGGTGATGTTTCTTTTATGATAGTACATCCGTTTAAGGGGATCTTTGTTTAATTTCTGCACAGATATTTGAAATAAGACAATTCCAATCGCCTACGCATGACCTTTCCATATTTTTCTTACAGGTGATAATGTGGACAAACATAAACGATACCTACGATATCTGATCATTGACAAGTTGGAATTGTCTTCTAATTAGAAAATGTCCCAAATTCCTGAGAGCTTCTACTATACCGTAAGCTTCTTCTTTAACTGATGAAGACTTACGTTCAATAGCGAATTCGGTCTGCCTTTTTGTGATAGTTAAGCCGCCACTGCATATTCAGAACATCGGTTTCTAGTGTGAACATCGTCAATAATTGTAACAGTTGCACTGACGATGCTTTTCTTCAAAAGTTAAAATGTTACAATAACAATTTCAGAGATTGATTAATGGTAGAATTTTCTGAGGAAACATGGAGAGTAATTTCAAGTAGTACTAAGCAAACATTTCCGAAATATTAAATAGAGACGAAATATCCATAGGTAGTTCAAGAAATGGCTTTAATCTGTCTGCATCTGGTTGGATTGTCCTGTTTTGCCTACTATCATCACCAACAATTTTCATTTTATTGAAAACAAATACACAGTTATATTTTTCAGTAGCCTTCAGAAAATGTTGCAAAATAATATATTCGTTGTGAAAGTTGCTTTGTGGAAGACACAGTACTTCTTACTGTTATTTTTTGGGTAATACCATTACACAATCAGAAAAATAAACAAAGCTAAATCAATAAAGAATCTGTTTGGAGTGTAATAAAGGGCAAACTGAAAAGTCACTGACTAATATAAACCGCTGAACAGTTCAATTAGTTAGTAACTTGTTATCATAAATTTTGCCTACAAATAAAACAATCGCTGGTCACACTTCCAATGAATTATTTTTTGTTGCAATGGTAACACCAAGATAAATAGAAACTCGGGTGTTTTAATTTGCTTTTGTTTTGTCAAAAACTTTCGACGCGAAAAATTAGATTGATCCAACTTTGTACACATGTTACTCTCAATATAAATTTATTTCCAAATGTAAACATCATTGAACATTGAAGTGCCAACTTGACATTGTCAAGCTATGCCACTTGAGTTTTACTTACCCACGTAGGTAGTTCGATTTGTACTCAGTGACACTAAGTTATCAAGAGTGCCGTAGGTTGAGAGTTTCTGACAAAATATTTTACATAGGAAATAAAATTTGACTTCGCAGTTAGTTTGTGTTTGAAAAATAAGTAGAAAACAGCCTCTTTCCTTTTGTCAAATTTGACATTTTTTCGAAAATCCTCAAAAAACTCAGTTTTTTTGTAAATTTCCAAAAATGCCAATAAAAAAGTTGCTCAGTTTCCAATATTATACCATTGCTCGGAATTTGGATTATCTACTGTCACTTGGACTTTTTTCCATTTTATTTAATTTTTCGAATCTTTCGCTCTGTCGATTCGAACGAACCATGATTCAAATTTCATAATTTTGATGAATACGAGACTTCAATGTCATATCTTAACAGAAAATACCCGCATTGGCCTGTTACCTTGAAAAGAAATAAATAGGTACACCTCCAGAAATTCGTCTTTTTTGCTGCAAAGTTCATCTAGTTTTTTCATTACATTGTTAAACAGATTGGGATTTTCATTCCACTTACACTCGTATTTCTTTCTTCAATGGATTTTTATCCAGTTTGATTATTTTTCTGACCAATAATTCAATTACAAACTAACCCGACATATAATAATATAACTGTAAACTAAACATTGACCTACAGTTTCATAACTATTCAAAAGACTTTCGTTCTAGCGATTTGTACTGAACATGATATGAAATTTCGTGATTTTAAACATTACAAGACCAATGCAACATGTCAGGAAGAAACTAGTAGGTAGGTACTGATCAAATCGAAATAAAATTTTCCCTTAGTAGGCTTATGAAACACATTTTTAGTTTTGGTTAATGTCAAATTATTGTGTTTAATGAATCGACTTGTTTTGTGTACATTTATAATTTACAAATAAGTTTTATATACAATGTTATCTACACAAGACAAAGTGGAAATCGGTCTTTTATGTGGTGAGAATGTGCCATGGCGAAATGTTGCTTGTATTTTCAATCACCGGCATCCAGTAAGCAATATTCACCGTGGACAGGATATTGAAAACATTCAAAGACCCACTGGAAAAACATAGATGATGAACAATAAGGGAATTGGGCGATT